TTTAAAAATCTTTAATAGTGGGCCAATCATATAGTGCTGAACTATGATAGTTAATCATTTGATATCTAACACCCCAATTAGTGTAGCAACCAAAATTCAGCTGTAAAATTACTGCAATTTTGCGTAATTTTAATGTATTTGCTGTAAGTTTCGTAAATCAATTTTTCATGTATTTGTAATTTTGAACGCATGACATTTAGTTTCTGAGATCAAATTTTCGGCATTTTAGGAGTTACAATTCGGATCGTACATTCAAATCAAATAATGCAATAATGCTACCGAAATTTTGTCAATCTGGAGCTTCATTTATGGCGTGTGAAAATTACATGAAATCTTAATTTACTGAAATTTACGTAAAATTACGTGTAATGTAAAATTGAAATTTATGAAATACAACCCTACCCGGAGCTAAGCCAGCATTAAGCAATAATAACAGCCAACTATACTACAGCAAAATTATCATCTGGGCAGCTTTACTTAGTACGTGGCTACCATTTTATTAGCAGTTAGATGATTTTGGGAGAAATTGATCAATTCCGACATATTCCGACCCTAAATTTTAGCCGATCTGCTGAATTTTGGTTGCTCCATTAGTCTATCATTACTGCAGTGACCCATCCCTAATATTACCAATCAGCTTTACGATTTTCTAGACGGCAGTTAAACGTATGTACTGTACGTACGTACGTACGTTGTAAAATTACCGTAACAGGTAATTTGGTAAAATGGGTTGGGTTGTGTTATATAAATTACAATTTTACATTACAAGTAATTTTGCTTAAGTTTCAGAAAATTGAATTTCATGTAATTTTCATACGGTATACATCAACTCCAGATTTACAAAATTTCGGCCATTATTTGATTTGAATGTACGATCCGAATTGTAACTCCTAAAACGCCGAAAATTTGATCTCAGAAACTAAATGTCATGTGTTCAAATTACGCAATCGGAAAATGTGTACCAGGTTGGTGGCGCAGACAAAAGTCTTAAAATTCGTTAAGGCTAGGGTCAGGGTCAGGGTTAAGAACTAGAGGGAAGTAGTTTTGATAGTAAAATTGTCCAACGAAACCTTTTTGTTAGAGTACAAAAGGTGGTTTCTTATGCTGATTTTGAGTTGTGAGCGATTTTTGGCAGAACGAACGTATGTTTTGAATCTTCTTAATTGTGTTACGTTACACCTAATCTTGAAAGCTGATTCGTAGATCAGAAGAACACATTTTCCGACTGCCAAAAGCACAAATACATGATTACCGAATCTTACTTAGTTTGATCATATGGGCTAGAATGACAAGATCTTCGGGGAAAATCAATTTTTATGTATGTTATAAATCTTATAAGTCATTAGATAATTTAAACAGTAAAGTGCTATACTCCAAAATTTTATTAATACAACTACTTTTGTGTCTTAAGTGAAAAATGTTCCTAATATTATTATAAATTGATTTAAAAAAAATCTTTTTAAAAATTGTCAATTTGGTTGGGCCCTTTTCCCAAGCATCTAGCTCATATGTAGGGTGTCCAGAATTATGCGATGCGATAGGGTAAATTATGCGTGCGATCGAGGTCAAATTATGCGATGAACGCGATTTCTTATTTTGATTTTGTCAATTATGTATCATTACTCTCTAGCGTTACCAACTTTAAAATTTTTGATATCAGCGTTACACCCGATCATGAAATTTGATTTAAATTATCAATGCTAGGATTCTTGGCATTCCGCATTAACCAATCTCTTATGTATTATATATTATCTAGGGTTAACTTTTGCTAATGTAAACGCTTAAAACACATATTAACGTATACAAGAATTTAATTTGATGGATTATTTATTGTCAGGGGAGCGAAGGGGAGAAGGCCTAAGAAGAATTTTGTCCATCATTCCGCATACGTGCCAATCATATAAATGATTGGTCAATTTTTTTTAATTCGCACCGGATTTACAACAGCCCTGTGTTCCTAGTCTTTATCAAAATTATTATAGAATATGCAGAAAGCTTCCGAGGTCAAATAATACTTTTGGACAGGATTTTCTTTGTTTGCTTTTTTACACAATATCTTACATTTCTATTATTTACAATGTGTTCATCGGTTCGATTCTGGCAAGAGTTATCATCTTTTGACGTTCGTATACTTGGATTTTTTTATAGGTATTAATAAATCTCTTCTTGACTTTATGACTTCTTTTCAGGTCTGTTTACAGTATTATCTCATGTAATTTAAAATGGCATCTAATTCCCATATATCAATCATTTCTTTTTAGATTTCAATGGGGTTTCAATTCTTTTTGACCTTTCTGATTTTCTTAATCTTTGCTTCTCCTACTCTTTGAAAGTGATGGCATCACTTGTACTGGTAGTTGATTTGTTTCTGGAGCAATCTGTGAACTTACTTTAGGGGATGCCTCTGTGTTACGCCTGAAAGTTCTTTATGTCATAATGATGGAAATTCTTGTATTGGTAATTGCTCTATTCCTGAAGTAATCTGTGAACTTACTTTAGGGGGATGCCTCTGTGTTACGCCTGAAAGTTTGTTATGTCGTAGTGATGGTAATTCTTGTATTGGTAATTGATCTACTTCTGGAGCAACTTGTCAACTTACTTTAGGGGGATGCCTCTGTGTTACACGTTAAATGTCCTGTCATAGTATTGGCAATTCTTGTATTTGTAGTTGTTCCACTTCTAGAATAACCTGTCAACTTACTACAGGTGCATTTTTATACGGACTACAGGACTGCCGTAAATTCTCGAAATAACGCCCAAGGGTGAAATTACGAAATTTGGCCTAAATTAAGCTTAATTCGGGCCAAAACCCAAAATAACGCCCATGCCCGTTATTTTGAGAATTTACGG